TGCCTAAAAGGAAAATTAGAGAGAGAAGAAAATTGTCTGCCATAGAGGCAGGCTCCAGGGGTGGTGTGACGGGGTGCACAGGAGGGAAATTGGAGACATTGGTGGCTGGAAATGTGCAATGGTGAAGGGTTGGAAATCATATGACAAACTCAGTCATAAGCTACTTTATTACTGTGTATTTCACTATGATTCAATAAAAAATAAAATTAACATAATTGTGTTATTCGAATAAAACAACAGGAGATTTTTACAACTAAAAAACCAAGTCCTATTCTTATTTTGAAATAAAAAATTAAAAAATGCTCTAAGATTCCAAATTATATATTGAAATGCAGAATCAATATTGGTTATAATTGATCAATTAAAACCTAAGTACATAATGAAATAGATATTGTACAACTGATGAGATTGCTAAGGCAGACTGGTATGTTAATGCCACATATTATCTTGTCATTAGAAGTTATAAATACGAAGGTCCCAATATCAATGTTATAAGATATATACATTTTAAAACTTATTTTTTTGCTGAGGTAACTTTAATTCAAGAGAGTATAAATGTTCAACATGGTTTAAGGGTACAATGGTGCTACAGTTTCCATCAAAGTGCCAATATATCTCCATTAAAGTGCATTGGGCCTCCTTTACCCTTTCATCCGACTCAATATATCATTGTAATACCAATTCTGTGGTCAAGGGATTTGATTTTGTTGACTGCATCCCACTCCCTTGCTTTCTTTTTTAACATATCGTATATGTATAATATTATTCAGTATGTGTTTTTCCTTTTCCGACTTACTTTGTTTAGCATGTCCTCATTCAGTTTATTCATACTGTAGCAAAATTAAGATCTTATAATTTCTTATATCTGAGATTATATTGATTGTATGTGATTAATAATCACATCCTATTGAGATTATATACCACATCTTTACCCACCCATTTGCCAACTGGGCACTTGGTTTGTGACCAAATCTTGCCTATTATAAATAATGCTGCAGTGAACCCAGATATGTAGATATATTTTTGAATTGTAGTTATTATGTTTTTCAAATTGAAAATTAATGAATCACATATAGCTCTATTTTTAATTTTTGAAGAAATCTCCATACTGTTGTCCACAGAAGTTGAATCAACTTAACATTCTTATATATACTGTATAGAGCTCCCATTTTTCTGTACCTCTCCAGGATTTCTTGTTACTGACCCTTTTGATAATAAGCTGTTCATACAGGTGTGAGGTGATAAGTCATTTTTTTGACTTGCATTTAAGATGCTATTCAATATTTTTTAAAAATGTTCTAAATAAAAAAATAAAAATAAAATGTTCTAAATAAAACCAGAGGGTATAAGTTATTGTTTTGGTTAAATGTCATTAAAATTTATGCGAGTAGTTTAACTAGACTTTCAAAAAATTTTGGTTCACACCAGCATTGTTAAGGGATTACTCCTGGCTTTGCACTTAGAGATCACACCTGGCAGGGCTAAGGGAAAGAAGTAAAAGTAAAAAAGAAGGTACTGACAAGTCTCATATTAATTAATTACCATATGGGGTGCCAGGGACTGAACCTTGGTCAGCCACATGCAAGGCAAGCAAGCACACTACCAGCTGTACTCTCTCTGGCTCCAAATCTGTTTTTAATGAACAAATTGATTATTAAAAAGTTTAATTGTCCCTATTTCTTACAGTTTGATTGTAGAAAATTATCCAGTAGGATTGCATAGCAATTAAGAATATAAATTCTAGAGTCATACTGCCTGACTATGAACCCTGTTTCTGTAGCTTACAAGCTATTTGACAGTGGGAGAGTTATTCACCTTTCTGTGTCTTGTATTTTAATATGCAAAACAGTAATAATAATGGTATTTACTTAATGGGGCATTAAGTGAAATGATAAACAAAACAATTAAAATAGAGTAAAATATAATCAAATCATAGGTACTACATTTTACAGGTATAATTTTCAACTTCATGAAATTGATAATTTATAGATGTGATATTTTCACTCTGGGGGAGAACACTGACACGTGGAAAAACTTAGTAAAAGTGAATTAAGTATTAAATAAGTGGTAGCACTGCACTGCACTGTCCTCCCGTTGTTCATCAATTTGCTCGAGCAGGCCCAGTAACCTCTCTATTGTGAGACTTGTTACTGAGTTTGGCATATCAATAGGTCATGGGTAGCTTGCCAGACTTCGCCATGTCAGCGGAATACTCTCGGTAGCTTGCCAGGCTCTCCGAGAGGGGCGGAGAAATCAAACTCGGGTCGGCCGGGTGCAAGGCAAACACCCTACCCACTGTGCTATGGCTACAATTACACATGACATTAAAGAGTATTAAATATGTGGCAAATGCTATAAATACATGTGACATTGAAGAAGAACAAGTTTAAGTAAGCTTATAAAAGATTCGGGTATGGTTACTGAAATTTATGTCTGTGTTGGAAGATGTAGAATTGTGAGTGGAAATAAGAATACAGGAAATAGCTTATAGGTAAGAATAATTAAAAACAATATTCTTTTATATATAATAAAATTGAACTACGATTTTGGTTCTAATCTTGTTTCTAATGTTTTAAAAATTGAGTATGTAGTACATATGAATAAGTATCTTTAAACAACTGATTATGCAAATAATTTACACTATTTTAATGCGAAAGTTTAACCTATATGTGGGACCCCTGAGATTCAAAAATATGCGCTGTTAAAAAGGCAGGTCAAATGTTATTTTTCCTACTTTAAAAATGAGAAAAAGAAGATTAAGAGTTTATCTTATTTGCTCAAGTCATACCTCTACTAAGTTACTGAACTCAAATTAGCATCTTATATTTTAGTTTTCAACAAGAGCTATTTTACCACAATATATTTACTCAATAGCAGAAAGTTCAGTAAATGAGTAATGAAGATTGAATTTTGTGATAAGTACTATGTTGATCATTGTCTCATGCAAGGAAAGAAGTAAAAGTAAAAAAGAAGGTACTGACAAGTCTCAGGTATATTAAACAAAAATAAATGGAGACGAGTTATCAGTATTTGAGCCTCTATGTTTTACAATTTTCCTTCCAAGTGATTGAAACATGAGAGGTGGAATAAAAATTAAATACATGTGACAGAGTCAGGTAGAACTTCTCTTTTCATAGCTTTACTTGTTCTTAACCTTTATCATTTATTTTCTCCTGTGATAATGTATTTTTTGAAACACTGAATTTGGGAACACATAATTTGGCAAACGGTGTATCTCACTCATCTGGTTGCTCATGGATGTTAAATTTCAGTCATATGCAAGTTGATGTATTTAGAATAAAATTTCTAGTGTAACACACCGCTGAAACATATCTTTGATATTCTTGTAAATGTGTTAATAAAAATTATGAAAGTACAGCAGATGATAAACTTTCATTCATGATTTATATAATAAGATTTCCTACATATAGTTATACACAAATTCATAAATATAAATATTTCAAAATAATTTCTAACCCTAACATTCCAATTTTTATTAGGAAACAATTGTAGATTATTTGGGTCTCAGAAATAAGCATGTGAAAACGATACACTTTAAAAGGTTATGTATGGGAGTACTGGTAGTCTGACTTCTTTGGGAAGGTCTGCACATTTTATTAAGGGAGAATTCCCTATAAGAAATCCAGTGAGGTTCAGAAAGATAACTCAAAGAATTGGGGCATTTGCTTTGCAAAGGGAATCACAGGTTTAATTCCCAGAACTTCATTGTCTTCTGAGTCCCACTAAGCAAAGCTCCTGAGCACTACTGGGTGTGCCTAAAACAACCCCCCACCCTCACCTCCGTGCAAAGAGCAGAGTCAAAACCACACTGAACTAAACCAAGCCTCAGCGAGTAAAAAACACTCCACTTTTCTTGTACCAGTTTCTGAATAGGATCAGAAGAAAACTGGAACTAACTGATCTTTGACAAGGTTTATAATCCCCAGTTCTGAGATTGCGTATTTATTACATGGAATCTTTAGGGACATTTTGCCAAATATTCGATATTTTAGCATTTATACAATACTGATATATATATATATATATATATATATATATATATATATATAGTCTTTGGACTGGGGTGGAGCGATAGCACAGCGGGTAGGCGTTTACCTTGCAAGTGGCCAACATGGCTTACCCGAGTTCAATTCCTCTGCCCCTCTCGGAGAGCCCGGCAAGGTACCGAGAGTATCTCGCCCACACGGCAAAGCCTGGCAAGCTACCAGTGACATATTAGATATGCCAAACACAGTAACAAGTGTCACAATGGAGACATTACTGGGCCCGCTTGAGCAAATCGATGAACAACGGGAGGACAGTGACAGTGACAGTCTTTGGACTATGTATTTTGTCTAATAAGTCAGTACTATAAAATAAGAAGGTGGCAGTACAGTTTATTCAGGTCTTGAATCAGCTTCAATTCTCATCTTATATTTGCAAACAAAGGAATATGCTCATATAATTGAGAGCTATATGTTACTTCTTTATTATCTCAAAGGTTGTGTTTTATGTGTGAATCGAGATCCTTATTACTGCACAAAATTTACTTAGAAAGACATGAGGGAAGAGAAATAGAGAGGTATGTATTCAAGAGAGAACATGGGCTTCTCCAGAGCGGACAAAGCAGAGATATGTGTTCAAGGAAGAACATAAGATTGAAAAGGTTAGTTCTTATCCTCTGTAAAGTTTTACTTGAGGGGAGATAACATTGAACTCAGGCCCATTTCTTAAAGTACTAAGACATGAATATTTTTACCTTTAAATAAATAATAAAAACCAATTATAATTTAGTTTTAAACTGTGGACTGAATTTTTAACAGTTAAATTACCTTTGGAACCTCTTATAATAAGTGCGGATACATGAATTAGGTACATTTATATTCAAGTTTTTTCTATTTGTAAATTATTAACTGAATTCTTATTTTATTGTAAATTATTTGAGAAAATACTTATTTGGGGACACCTCTCAAATGATTTGCACAGGAGATGGATATAAACTATTTATATGTTTCTTCTTTTTCTGGAAGAGAAGGTTTCTTTTTGGGTACATAAGTCACACTGGACAAAGAATGCTTTCTAAATGTGGATAGCCTTCTCCTAAAGTTCCCTCCTGAAAAGAAATAAAGAAGAGGGTCAAAGCAACAATTTGATGCAGCCAGAGACAACGTTATGACCACTGACTTTTGCATTCTAAGGATAGAATCACAGGATTTAGTTTCATTGTGTAGAAATTGAAGGTGAATGGTGCGTTGAATGTGATATGGCATAAAGCTGATCAAAAAAGAAGCCATGACAACTATGATCATTCCTATAGCTTTTTTACGACTTGCAATATTTTTCTTCATTGACGATTTTAGTAAAGTCAAAATGATCATTGTGTAACAAACAATTATAATAACAAAAGGAATTATAAATCCAACAAACAATGACACATAATGCAAGACCAAAACATATTTTTTAGTTTGATTGTCTTGTGGAGGCTCAAAGCACTTGGTATTGTTTTTCTCATCTTTATAAGATGTATACATTAAAAACGGAGAACTGGTCAAAATCACAAAAATCCAAATGCCAATACAAACAAACCTGGCTTTTTTCTGTGTAACCAAATCAATGTTCTGGATCGGAAAAACAATTGCAATGCACCGGAAAAAGCTCATGGCTGTCATAAAGAAGATGCTACAGTAGAGATTGACATACAAGGCATAGGTGCTCAGGCGACATAAAAAGTCACCAAAGAGCCAAATACCTCTGTGAACGTAATAGACCACACGGAGAGGCAGTGTACACACACACAGGATATCTGCTACTGCTAAATTAATCATGCATACTTGGAAGGCTGAATTCTCATGCCATGTTTTTATGAGAACACAAAGTACAAAGCCATTGCCAAAAAAGCCCACAATGGAGATCATAGAGTATACAGTAGAATACACTTGATTGCGGAAGTCATCAATAGTGTCATTGCACGTATTGTTATTGGCATCCATGTTTCTCCAGGAGTATGTATGCTAGGCGTCTGTCTTGTCAATTCTTACAAGATTATTAGTTATAGAACTTCTAAGGTTTCACTTTATAGAGTCACACCTTTTGAACATGTCACAAAGCAAAGGTGATGGGCCAGTGAGGAAGGTTTTCCGTTGCACTTTGTCCTCAGAAAAGGGGTTTAAATTCTACGAGCACCCACAAAACTTTTTCCTCTTTTCTACTCATGTTTTCCTAGTGGATTATAATCCTCAAGGCCTAGTTAAAACAGCTCTGCTATATTTTGAGTCATTTTTTCTAAGGTAGTACTCTGTTAATATTTCTATTAAATGAGTTTGTTTCTTGATTAGGTAAAAGTCTTAAGATAGACGTTTCATAAAAATAGTTATCTATCCTTCCTCTCTATCATTTATATTCTTTCATCTATATATTACAGGAACATTAACACTCTTGGAGAATAAAATCTGGGTGAAAGTGCTTGGTTCTCTCAAGATGAGTACTTCGTAGGCAAATCTGCTGAGTGATACACACACCTAGGGAAAATGAGAGAATTTGTTATTAATTAAATTTATTATCCTTTAAGAGAATCTTAGTCTAGAACATGATTCACTTTATGTAGAAGAGAACATAAAGGCTGGAGAAAATTTTGAAACCACTTATCAATGTTAATGAGAATAAACTTCTAAAAAGGAAATTTCCACAGGAAATGCATTTCTATAATCTGTATCATAAATTAAGGATATGAGGAAAGATAGCACAACTTGCTGGAATGTAACTCTTAGGTGAGGATATTGTAGCCACTAATTATTGTTCCTTTTGTGAACACATTCAAAACCTCACAGTTTAATAAAATGTCATTATTTCTTTTATGTAAGAGTTTGTTTCTTAGTCTAGAGTTGTACAGTAATTTCAGGACAGTCAATCAGGTTTGTAACAAGCTCTAATCAAGAATGGTGAGAGAGAGAGAAAGAGAGAGATAAAGCACATTAGGGATAAGGTAATGTGGAAATGGACATAGTGATCTCTTTAGTACTTCTCTATAATATCCATTCTTTTATGTTAGTATTAAAGTAGGTGAAAGTTAAGAATTGATATAAAATAGAGTGGTTAATTTTTGATTGAAGTCTGTGAAATCTAGCTCACTGGAAGAAAGGGGCTGTGACTGCTAAAAGGGAAAACTGCTCAAACATATGAGAGCTATAATCAATAGAAAACACTATTATTTCTATAACAGGAATATAGAAAAAAACATCTATGGCAATACGTACACTTGATATATAACATTTTCTAGTTGATTTACTTTCTCTCTTTTTAAAAAAATTATTAGTGAAACACCATTAGGTACAGTTGTAGACTTACACATTTTTTGTGTTTGTGTTTCAGTTATACAGTGGTCGAGTACCCATCCCTCCACCAGTGCCCATTCTCCACCACCAATGATCCCAGTATCCCTCCACCCCCCATCCTCGCCATACCACCCTGACTCTGTGGCAGGGCATTCCCTTCTGTTCTCTCTCTCCTTTTGGGTGCTGTGGTTTGCAAAAGAGGCATTGAGTGGTGATCATGTTCGATCTATAGTCTACTTTCAGCATGCATTTCCCATACTGGGAGGATCCTCCCAACAACCTTGACTTGGTGCTCCCTTCTCAATCTGAGCTGCCCTTTCCCCTAGCATGTGCAGCTGGCCTCCAAGCCATGGAGTGAACCTCCTGGTACTTATCTTGGCTATTCTTTGGTTTCAGTCTCCTATTTTGTTACTTTGTATTACCCAGATGAATACAATCTTTCTATGTATGCCCCTGTCTTTCTGACTCATTTCACTTAGCATGATACTTTCCATCTAGTACCACTTGTATGTAAATTTCATGACTTCATCTTTTCTAGCAGCTGCATAGTACTCTATTGTGTAGATGTGCCAAAGTTTCTTTAATTAGCCATCTCTTCTCGGGCACATGGGTTTCCCCCCAGATTTTGGCTATTGTGAACAATGCAGCAATGAACATAGAAGTGCAGATGTCATTTCAACTATACTTTTTTGCATCTCCGGGATATTTTCCCAGGAGTGGTATTGCTGGGTCAAATGGGAGCTCAATTTCTAATTTTTTGAGAATTGTTCATACTGTTTTCCGAAAGGGCTGAACCAGTTGGCATTACCACCAGCAGTGAAGGAGGGTCCCTTCTCGCCACATCCACGCCAACACCGGTTGCTTTTGTTCTTTGGATGTGGGCCAGTCTCTGTGGTGTGAGATGATATATCATTGTTATTTTGATCTGCATATGCCTGATGATTAATGATGTGGAGCATTTTCTCATGTGCCTTTTTGTAATTCCGATTTCTTCTTAGTGAAAGTTTCTGTTCATTTCATTGCCCCATTTTTTGATGGGGTTGGAGGTTTTCTACTTGAGGAGTACAACCAGTACACTGTATATCCTTGATATCAACCACTTGTCAGATGAGTATTGGGCGAATATCCTTTCCAATTCTGTAAACTGTCTCTGTATTTTGGTCACTGTTTCTTTTGAGGTACAGAAGTTTCATAGTTTAAAATAGTCCCATTTGTCTATCTCTTTCTTCATTTGCTTAGCCAGTGGCATGTCATCTTTGAAGATACCATTAGCTTCAATGTCGTGGAGTGTTTTTACAACCTTGTCTTCAATGTACCTTTATGGATTCTGGTATGATGTTGAGATCTTTAATCCATTTTGATCTTACTTTTTAAAAAAAATTTATTAGTGAAACAATAAAACAATTAGCGGCACAAATGCTGGCCGACTTCAACAGTGAGTGTGGAAAGGTCGGATTACAGCTGAATCTTACGAAGACAATGTTTATGATAAACAGCCTCATTCCTGACGCTCCATTCGCTCTCAACAGAACGACCATCTCTGAATGCAACAGTTATGTGTACCTAGGTCGAGAAGTCAACATGATGGCACCTCCTGGCACCTGAGTTGTGCAGGAGGAAGAGAGCGGCTTGGAACGCCTTCGAAAGCCTCAAAGAAATAGCTAGGAGGATGAAGAACCTCCCGCTCGGGCACATCTCTTTGATTCCACTGTTCTTCCTGCATTAACATACGCCTCAGAGACCTGGACCCTAGCAAACAGGATGAGAACGCTATTCAGGTCTCCCAAAGAGGAATCAAAAGAGCTATGGTTGGAGTATCACGTTTCATTCAAATGAGAGAACAAATCCGGAGTTCCGACCTCCTTCGAGGATCAAGAATCAGGGACAGTGTCTCGTTTGCCAAGGCGTCAAAAATCAGATAGACTGGACACATAAAGAGATTTGGAGACGACAGCTGGACTAGAGCCGTTAAGGACTGGATTCCACGGGACGTCAAAAGACTGCGTGGCCGCCCAGCTACCAGATGGTCAGACTTCTCCATCAAGATCCTGAAAGATTGGTTTGAGACTCTTCGTGTTCCAAGAACGAACAGACGCCATTGGGCTACAGTAGCACGCGACAGGGACAAATGGAGACATTGGTGCACGCTCGAGCAAATCGATGATTAACGGAAAGTCAAGTGATCAAGTGATTAGTGAAACATCATGAGGTACAGTTGTAGACTTACAAATTTTTGTGCTTGCGTTTCAATTATACGATATTTGATCTTACTTTTGTACATGGTATTAGGCAGAGATCTGAGCACTTTTTTTTGCATGTAGCTGTCCAGTTTTGCCAGTACAATTTGAAAAAGAGGATTTCCTTGTTCCACTTCACATTTCTTGCTCCCTTATCAAAGATTAGATGATCATATGTTTGGGGTGAGATGTCAGCATATTCAACCATGTTCCATTGGTCTGAAGCTCTGCCTTTGTTCCAGTACCATGCTGCTTTAATTATTACTGCTTTGTAGTAGAGTTTGAAGTTAGGGGGGTTGATTCCTCCCATTTTCTTTTCCCCAATAATTGCTTTAGGTATTCGTGGGGGCTTATTGTTCCTTATGAATTTCAGGAGCGTTTGCTCCATTTCTTTGAAGAATGTCATGGAGATCCTTATAGGGAACACATTAAATTTGTACAATGCTTTGAGATCTATTGCCATTTTGGCAATGTTAATTCTCCCGATCCATGAGCAAGGAATATCTCTCCATTTCCTCTTGTTCTCTTTTATTTCCTAAGTAGCATTTTGTAGCTTTTTTGGTACAGGTCTTTTACTTCCTTAGTTAAGCTTATTCCTAGGAACTTGATTTTCTGGGGCACAGTTGTGAATGGATTGTTTTTTCATGTCACTTTCTTCTCTCTCAGTATTTGAGTATAGGAAAGACAAGGACTTTTGGGTATTGATTTTATAGCCTGCAACTTTAAGTCTATTGTTTCTAGGAGTTTCTTGATAGGGGTTTTAGGGTTCTCTAAGTATAGTATCACATCATCTGAGAATAGTGAGAGCTTGATTTCTTCCTTTCCTACCTGAATGCCCTTAATATCTTTTTCTTGCCTAACCACTATTGCAAGTACTTCCACTACTATATTGAACAGTAGTGGAGAGAGTGGGCATCTTTGTCTCATCCCTGATCATAGAGGGAAGGGTCTTAGGTTTTCCCCATTGAGGATTATGCTTGCTGTAGGATTGTGGTAGATGGCTTTAATTATATTGAGGAAAGTCCCCTCTACACCCATTTTGGCGAGGGTTTTCTTCATCGACGGGTGCTGGATCTTGTTAAGTGATTTCTCAGCATCTATTGATATGATCATATGTCTTTTTTGTAATTATTATTATTTTTAAAAATTTTTATTAGTGAGACACCATGAGGTACAGTTGTAGACTTACAAGTTTTGTGCTTGGGTATCAATTATACAATGATCAAATACCCATCCCTCCACCAGTGCACATTTTCCACCACCACGGATCCCATTATCCCTCCCACCCCCCATTCCCCCCGCCCCACCCTGCCTCTGTGGCAGGGCATTCCCGTCTGTTCTCTCTCTCCTTTCTGAGCCAGAAATACCACTACTGGGAATATATCCCAGAGAGGCAAAAAAGATAATATCTTTTTTATCTTT